CTGTGTAATGTCCTGTATGTTTCAATGAACAGTTACATTATTTTCACCTTGTTCTTTTCACCCAAAATTACATACTGGTTCTTTGTCTCATATAACCATCCATAATACGCTTTGATTGTTAAATTATATTTGTCAACATAGGTAATCTATTGTGCATTTCCTATATGAAATTTGAATAAAATTGGACAATGCAAGGCCATGCAACATTATGCAAAAACATCTATTTTACTTTTTTTGACCAAAAATTACATACATTTACTCTTAATACAAGTTGATTGTGAAATGTTGCTTATTAACATGATGTATTGTGTATTACCTATATGTACAGTTTGAATGACATTTGTAATTGAAAGGTCAAGTACACACAAAAAGCATCATTTACACCATCATTTTACATTTATTACTCAAAAACTATAGTTAACATGCACAGATTAGAAAATAAATTTGACATGCATCTGTACAATTAAGTGTACACCTCAAAATTTTGTGAAATCAGGTCAAAGCAATTCAGAGTCACATTGCAGCTCACATTTTTAGCCTTTTGATCAAAAATGTAAATTTTTCACCCAGAAACAAAACTTGACATGTACAAAACAAAATAGATGTAAATCTGTATGTTTTAGTGATATGATACACCTGTAGAAAATTTTGTGAACTTTGTTCAATGCGTTTCACAGTTACGATATAGTCCACATTTTTTTCTCTAAATGTACACAAATCAGAGAATTAACAAAATAAGTGTACCAAAGTTGAATGAAATCAGTTCATGTATGTCCGAGATATGGTCCAGGACCGGGCCACACACTCATAAAGTTCAAGCCCCTGTGTCATCACATTCCTGTATGTGTTTTAACTACACACATTGCATAAGATGAAAACGATGATGCAGTGGTCAAAAGCCATATTATATATGTTAGCAATAAGAATTAAAATAGCATTTTTTTATCCGATTGAAATCAGAATAATCTGTAAGAAAATATGAAGCATCACTGAAGCACAAGGATGTTTTTTTTATTCATAAATTTTTATGCAATGATCTTCAAAAGCATCTTATTACTGTTACTATAGTAACTGAATTAGTAATTTAGAAATGACAAAATGAATGAAATCATGTGTCACAATAGTTCAGATTTGGGATTTTAAAAGATCCCCAAGTACCCGGTACAATCTTTATTTTTTTGAGGACCTCTCTCCCCAGCAGTCACCAAGGCAACAAAACTTCATTTTTGTCATAGTGACTCGTGATCACTACAACATCAGTAATTCAAACATCTAATTACAATTTTGAGTCAAAACAATCATCCTAAGGATTTATTTTACTTTGGAGATTTATAAACATCAGGTAAGAGCGCTCTCAAAAGCTGGTCTGTGATAATTGATGTGAGTCCCCAAACCCTGTGTATTGGCCCTCCAAGAAATACTGGCATCTGATAAGTTTTTGTCCGTTTTCCATAAGGCGCAAATCTTGTGTATCGTTGGTTCTGTGGGTTGCATAGATGTGATAAAGTTAAGCTGAATACCTGTTCTACCTGACAAAAAAAAGAGAAATAAATCAACATCATATTAGTGACATGTGCAGTCAAGAAGTGACAAGTCTTATGCTGTAATTAGGGTAACTTATTATAATCTTTCGTATACTGAAATGATGTAGATATATAGTTTATTTATATATTTATTTATTTATTTATTTATTTATTTATTTATTTATTTATTTATTTATTTATTTATTTTGATCTTACAATGTGATTTATATAAAAGCCATTATACAGAGTGTGATTCACCTATTATTTAAAAAAAGAAGTGAAATGAGAAAGTTGGTTGGCATGACTACATTTTGGGCAACTACTTGAGCCTTATTGAGTGGCAATCCATTATAACTGTGGAAATCAAAGATCAACATTCAGAATAATATCAAACTTAATATACTTTGATAATATCAAAGCCCCATGGACAGTACATAATAACCAGTGTTGCAAATGCCCTTGCAGCGTTGTAATGGGAATTGGTAATGGTAAATATACATGAAATGAAATATACTTGAAATACTTGAAATACATAATGACAATTAATATGCAAATATATATTTATTTATTTCTTCTTCCGACAGGAAATGTTCGTTAAAATTGACAAACCCTTTGATCAGAAACTAACGACAATATCTGAAAATGTCTGTATGGTTCAAAATGATGATGAAATTTATTACAAAATCTGAAAATGTTATGTTTGCACAAAATATTGGGCAGGAAAAAAATCTTGGGCTCTATTAATAAACTGTACCTACCTCATTGGCATTTGGCTTCAACGACTCAATGTTTATATCACCAAGAAACCCAACAATGGGTGTAACTTTCCTTTTTAATGTCTGAAAAAAAGGTTTTCGTAAAATATACTTGACTGAAAATGTTATCAAACAGACTAAAATACGAATAAATTGCTTCTGACATGTTATAAATTGAATAATTTAATGAAATGGGCATAGAATACAATGAAGAACAGCATGGTAGACAGCCCCGAAATTTGTACAAGTTTTACAAATTCTTTTAAAGCAACAATAACTATCAAGCAATGTATTAATCAATCTTTTCTCCCTGATTTTTATTTTTGATAAAAAATTTCATCAATGCCAATTTGTAATGGCCATCTACGAAATGTGGACACTGAAAGTACAGCATATATACTAATTACTGACATTGTGTATTAAGGTAGCGGGACTATTATTTGCATACTTGTTTTCATCTTCTAATTGTGACTAAATGACTACAAATAGACCCGGGAAAGTATATATTTTTAGAATCGCCAGACTTCAAGCTTTTCACAAGTGTATTTTGCATGCCCGTATTTGCAATCTACGACGCGTTACTCAACCAAAGGTGAAAAATT